AGATCTTTCCGTCCAGCCACTCTCCACGTAGAGTACTTAGCAAACATGAAAACGTTCAAATGCGGTCATTGTCAACAAACTAAGAAAACCCTAAAAAATGTTAAAGATTCTTAATATTTCCATGAAGAACCTCCATGGCAATGCTTAAATCCAGGAATATTGAGCATTTTCAGATCGTTTGCCAATGCCCAATCCTTCTCCATATCACTAGAGTCCCTTCTCTCCTCAGCATCGTGTCACTCAGCTCAAGAGCCCTAACAGAAAAGAATATTCTTGAACATGGTTTAACAAACACGGGCAGCAAATGTTTGCCAAGACAAAATTTCTAGACAAACACATTTGTGTGTAACTATGCTCCACACATTGGAAGCATTCACATTGAAGATGATAGTCCCAAGGCCATTATGTTACTATTGGCAAGCCATGGGATGCTCTCACACAAGCTCAAGGCTACATTATAAGCCAGGTATAAAAGGCAAGGAGAAGAAGTGAAGGTAGAAGCCAAGCCTCCATCCCATCCCCTCTAGAGAATCCTGTATTTAAAGGCACTTACTAGTGATTCCTAGGACTTAAATCATGGAGTGTCCTTTATAGAGGATCTCAGTTAGTGGCACATAGTATCCACTCCTGATCCTTTTGGATCTCCTCTTGATTGCATTACCTAATGTATTTACCCATTTTAGAGATTTGCAACCATCTTGAATTTGATTTTCCACAACATTGTTTTGGCCAGTTCTCCATGTCTTTGCCAGCACACTAGCCTCCTCCACCTTGCAGATTTTAATCCCCTTATGTCTTAGATCAGTTTAGATGGCATATACCATCCAAACTTATCACTCAAGCTAGGTGGCATGGAATATTTAAAATGTCAGCATAATAATGCTTTTTTGATCTCTTGCTAATACAACTTGGTTGCTTTCTACTTGCTAGTGGGAGCAAAACAAATATGTACATATAACCCAACCTTGCAGCACACTGCAAATGCCAACACAAGATCTCCCACTCACTCCGAGTTATTTCGAACACTGATGGAAACACTCAAAATGCATACAAAGTGCAAACACTCCTTATTCCAATTCACACTCCAAGTAACATTGTTAAACACAAAATCCCCAAGGGGTAGGGTGAAAACTAACTTAACCTTTATTCCCTATTGCTTCCCACTTTTATTCTTCAACTTTGAGATTCTCAAGATCTTAGAATACCTTAGCTCCACCATCCACATCATTGCCCTAATTAGCTCATGCAGCTTTGTTGCAGGTGCAGTGGGGTTATGCTCACTCCCTACACCCTGCTTTGTTAGAAGTTGTGAGGATGCAAATTAAATTTGCATCCTAGTTCAAGGGCAATTTTGTGAATGTAAATTTAGGTATCCTTGTTTCGTAGCATAATGGGTTTAGAATTTAACTCCAAATTTAGGTGCGTTACATGCACAAACTTGTGAAAACAAGTGGATTCCCTTCTGGAATCTCCACTTGCACATTTCCAATTTTCTTGCAACAAGAGGAACTTTACTAGTCATATCAATCTCTTGAACTTGATCTAATACTGTCTTGATAGTCACTATTTTAGAATTGGCCACACCATATCTTATTGCCACTTGAACACAATCCATCCCTATTGCAAATCTCCCTCACAAGTGCCTCAAATACTTGATTGCAACAACATTACAAATCCCTTATTTGCCATCTTAGTAGGACTCTCTTTAGAATTCCTCACTGGTCACCATATTATAGAATTCCCTTCTGAAATCTAAACACCTCCCCAAGTATGATTCTTTTAATATAGCCTCAATTCCATTAGGTTCCCTTTCACTATATTCTATCTCTACATTATAAGTTTTTCCTCTAGTGAACATGACTTGAAACTTGTTCATAATTCTCCCATTCAAGGATTCCTTGTTATCATCCTCCTTGCTCTACTCCCTTCTTGTAATGCACCACATTAAACCACACTTACCCCCATCTAGTTCCTCACAAATAGGTAGATTCCCCTTTGGAATCTCCAGCACCACATCTTACATCAATAAGATTCCCTTCTATAATCCCTCTCAAGAATCTCCATTGCAAAGTTATGTTATTGCCTAAAAAAAATCCCCTACTAAGATCTTCACAACATCTCAACTACAAACTCTGGCTTCTTAATATTTGCATCCTTATTAAGTTTTGAAGCTCAGCTCCATTTTTTCATTTTTTTTTCTCTTTCCTTTGGCCCTAGATGTCCTAATGATACCTTTTTAAAACTTCATTATCCACTTCTAAAAATCCCTTAATAGAATCCCTTCTTTAACATATGTAGCATGATCATAGTTGGACATTGTTGGTTGATTAAACAATCTTTCACCATCACAGTTAAAACATTTGTTGTGTCATCCACCACTACCTTTGCTTCTTATAAAAAATGTGAGTTGATGATCTACTTTTGTGATTTGACTATGTATCAATGTATGGTATAAAGATATAAAGATATATATCTTTATATGTACCCTTTATAAAAATATGAAGCATATATCTTTAAACCCTTTTGTGCGTAAAAATGCATTCTGGTCACGTGGCCCTCAAGAAATATCCCTATAACCTAAACCGTAAAACAGTCTTAACCGTACAAGGGTCTTTTTTGCTAAGTTGATAAAAGAGCTAAAAGATTGTCAAGCCTCAACTTGCAACTTCTTGAGCAGACTATGCGTCTCCTCGTTCGCCTCCACCCCCTCCGCCTTCATCCTTTGCAAGAATCCATAGGCGGGTACCTGCGCATTCACGTATGCCTTGAGCAGCTTGTTCCACACCCCAACCTTGGCCATGTTGCCCGCCTTGCACTTCTCAAACGCGCTCTCCGCCGCCTTCACGTCCGCCTTCTCCACTGCCTCCTCCAGCCCCTTCCTCGCCGCCGTCTCCTTCTCCTTGTCCTTCCTCACCACCGCCTTGGCCGCCTTGCTCATCTTGATCGGCTCCTTCTCCCAGTCCACCAGCGTCACCCTCAGATCCATCTCGTTCATCTTCTTCTCCAGCTCCTTGATCTCGCACTTCATCCCCTTCTTGTAGTACGCCAGCAGCAGGTTGTTGTGCCGCTTCAAGTCCACCGTTTTGCTCCGCTTCCACTTGTCCATATGCTTGAACATCGAATCCACCCTCTGCACCTCCCCTGCCAGCGCCATCGCCCGCTGGAACGCCAGAAAGCTGTTGAATCCATCGCCTGGAACCATCTTGCACTTCTGCCACATCCGCTCCACGTCCGAGATCAGTCCCAGCTGACCGTAAGCCAGCATCATGTACTCGAACGTCGCCTTCGTCCTCCGGAAGGGCCCGACTTCCATCCGCAGGAGGCTCACCTCCGCCTTGTCGGTGAGCCCGGCCTTGAGGTAGCCTTTGCAGAGCGTGAAGTAGGAGGTCCCGTCCGGCTTGGCGTTTGGATTGAGCTTCATCTCCTCGAAGATCTTCTCCATGCCTTCGACGTCCCCGGCCTTGGCCTTGAGGTCCAGCATCACGTTGTACGTGAAGATGTTCGGCTCCACCGCCACGTCCTTGGCCTTCTCCAGCATCTCCTGGAACTTTGCGTTGTCGCCCTTGTGCTTGTAGAGCTTCATCATGAGGTTGAGCGCGAAGGGGCTCTGGGACAGGAAGCCGGCCTTGTCCATCTCCTCGAACAGCCCCTCGGCCTTCTTCACATTGTGGAGAAAGACGTAGCGAGTGAGGAGAGCGTTGTACACGGGCCGGGTCTTCTCCTCGGCCGAGAGCTCCTCAAACAGCTTCTCAGCGGCCGCGATCCCCTTGGACCTCGCAGTTATCTCGA